AAGGAGGGTTGGGAGCCAAGGAAAAGCTTCTGCTTGACCCTACACGAGGTTTGAAGCTCCGAGCAGTGGGAAAGAGCGGCGGGGAGTTAAAGGAGGGGGGTGGGAAAGGCGAGGACAAACCCCCCCCCTGCCCGCGGCAAAGGGAGGGGAGGATTCCCGGGGAGAAGAGCAGGAAAAGTCAGCGAGGAGAATCGTTTGGGATGTGTGAAAGCTTCCCAAGGAAAGGGGCGAGCGGAGCCATAAAAACACCCCATCCCTGGAAGTTGGAATTATATTATAATTCCATATATTGATATATAATGTATATAAAATATATCTGCATATAAAATATATCTGTATATAAAATATATCTGTATATAAAATATATCTGTTTTACTGGAGGGTGTTCCTGCCCGTGGAATGGGGTGGAGAGTTCATAATTCAAACATTTTGGCCGAAATTCCCTTTTTTTTTTGCCCACCTTGGCCGAGCCCCGGGGGTCCCGTTTTCCACAGGGAGAGTGGAATCCCTCTGATCCTCCTGCTGCCCGGGGGAGTTGGGCTCTCCCTCTGCCCCCAGAGCTGGCAGGGCCAGCAAGGACACGAGGGAGGCTCCAGGGACATTCCCTCTGGATGCTGCTGGAGCAGGGGAGGACCAGCAGAGGCAGTGGGGGAGGATGCTCACAGAGCTGCAGTTGTTGGTTTTTTCCCAGTGCTGTTCCCACTGAGGGCTTTTCCCAGCGCTAATTTTAGGATTTCCAAGAGGTACCAGCCTTGCACGGTCTCCCCCAGGAATTCCTTCCATCCAGAGCCTTTTGGGACAAGCACAATCCCAGAAAAACAGGTGGTGGAACCTCAGAGCAAGGTCTGTCCCCCTGAACCACCCTCTGGAGCCCTGCCTGCCCATCCTGAGCGTCCCAGAGGGACATTCCAAGGTTTTTAAGAGTGTTTCCAACACAGCTGGATTTTACACCCTGTGCAGGGAACAGTTTGGGTCACCCAAACCTGGCAGGGCTGGATCAGGGACCTCGGAGAAGGGAAAAGGGATCCTGTCCGAGGGAGGGACCCCATCCTGAGAAAGGGATCCCATCCTGAGAAAGGGACTTTTCCTAAGGAAGGGATTCCATCCTGAGGAAGGGACATTATCCCGAGGAAGGGATCCCATCCTCAGGAAGGGTTCCAATCCTGAGAAAGGGATCCCATCCTGAGGAAGAGACTTTTCCTGAGGAAAGGATCCCATCCTGAGGGACACTGTCTTGGGGAAGAGACACTGTCCTGAAGAAGGGATTCCATCCTGAGAAAGGGACATTATCCCAAGGAAGAGACCCTATCCTGAGAAAGGGATCCCATCCTCAGAAAGGGACCTTTTCCTGAGGAAGGAATCCCTTCCTCAGGACAGTGTCCCTTCCCCATGACAGGGGAGGGGACACTCACACATTCCTCGAGATAATGTCCCTTTCTCAGGATGGAATCTCATCCTGAGAGATGTGTGAGTGTCCCTTCCCCTGTTTTGGGGAAGGGACACTGTCCTGAGGAAGGGATCCCATCCTGAGGAAGGCACATTATCCCGAGGAAGTGACCCTATCCTGAGAAAGGGATCCTGTCTTGAGGAAGGGTTCCCATCCTGAGGAAGAGACCTTTTCCTGGGGAAGGGATCCCATCCTGAGAAAGGAACACTCCTGAGAAAGGGACACTGTCCTGAGGAAAAGACCCTGTCCTGGGGAAGAGATCCCATCCAGGGAAAGGAACACTTCCCAAGGAAGTGACCCTGTCCTGCAGAGCCCCTGCTCCTGAGAGCAGGTAAAATCAGGGATCTGGGCTCCCTGGAAAAGCCTCCCAGGGTACTTTTCCACCATCCTTGGGCCTCCCAGCCCAGCCCAGCCCCGGAGTCCTGCTCGGAGCAGCCCGGAAAGCGAAGGGATCAGCACAAGTCCCTCTGCAAACACAGCCTGGGTGGAGCTCATTCCGTTTGGGGCTGGAATTCCATCCAGCTCCTCCCCAGCCAGGGCTTGGCCACCCCACCCCACTCCAGAGCAGCTTTTACACCTGCAGAAAACACTTACCTGTTCCCCAAACCCATCAACAGGCTGGTGAAAGGAATTAAATCCCGTGGCTGAATGCAAATGTTTTTATTGCCTTTGTGGCCAATTGTGGAGAGAATGGAGCCGGGGGGGGGGGGGGGGGGAAGGGGGGGCCGGAAAACCTTCCCCTCCCCGGGCTGTGCCGTGTCCTCCAAGGCAAACAAGGCAGCTTAGTGAAAATTTGGGGAGGGAAAAAGGTGAGATGTTTGTCTTTGTGTCCGTTCCCCTTTTAGAACTGAGACAATATTTGAGGAGAAACAAAAGATAACGATCGGATGCGGCGAACAAACACGGCCCGGATCCTGGATTAGCCGAAGGGCTCGGAAATCCCGGCTCCGGGGGTTTTGGCACAGCTCCCACAGCAGCGATGAGCGGATCCCCCCCTCGGCCCCCCAGCAGCCCATCCCGACCTCCTCCAGGCCCAGGACATCCTTCCTCATCCAAGACATCCTCTGGGATGGGGCGGAGCGCGGAGCGCGGCTGGACAGGGGCAGGAGCAGAGGGGTTGGCAGCGCCGGGAATGGGGAGAGCGGAGCGGCCCCGGCCGAGGGGAGGGAGGGCGGCTCCGACCCCGGGATCCACCCCGGGAGCCCCCATCCCACGGGAGCATCCCACGGCACGGGGACAGCCCGGGAAGAGGACACAGGTAAGGGCTGCGAGCTCCTGGAGGAGCCGGCGGGCTGGGAATGGGGCAGGGAATGGATCAGGAATGGGTCAGGGAATAGATCAGGGAATGGATCAGGGAATGGGTCAGGGAATGGATCGGGAATGGCTGGGCTGGGATTAGGGAATGGATCAGGGAATGGATCAGGAATGGGTCAGGAATGTCTCTGGTGAGGTCAGGGAATGGATCGGGAATTGCTGGGCTGGGATTAGGGAATGGATCAGGGAATGGATCAGGAATGGGTCAGGAATGTCTCTGGTGAGGTCAGGGAATGGATCAGGAATGTCTGTGCTGGGGTCAGGGAATGGATCGGGAATGGATCAGGGAATGGATCAGGAATATCTGTGCTGTGGTCAGGGAATGGGTCACGGAATGGATCAGAGAATGTCTATGATGGGATTAGGGAACAGACCAGGGAATGGATCAGGAATGTCTCTGATGGGATCAGGGAATGAATCAGGAATGCCACATCCCACCCCGGGGGCACCCGCTGGAGCTGTTCTTTGCCTGGAGAATTTCTTGGATCCCTGGAAGTGTCCAAGGCCAGGTTGGAGCACCCTGGGACAGTGGAAGGTGTCCCTGCCCGTGGGATTGTATTTAAGGTCCTTTCCAACCCAAACCATCCCAGCATTCCACGATTTCTCCCTCCAAACTCTGAGATATCACAGTTACTACTTAATTCTTTCCCCTCCTTTCTTCTGCTTGTCTGGTTCACTTACAGATCCTGCAGGATCACACTCCAGGTGGGAATTTTGTCCTCCAGATCTTCACTGCAGGAAATCCTGCAAGTTTAAGGAGTCACCAGGGTCTCTCTCCTATAAATAAATCACATTAAAAACACACCCCTGCCCAGAGATATTTACACAACAATCTGTCCTGGTTCCAGAGGAACCATTAATGTCAATCAGAAAATTTGGGATTTGTTCCCAAGGCAGAGCCACCACCCAGCCCCGAGGGGACAGAGGTGTCACAGCTCTTGGAAGTGCCACAGCAGCTCATTCCTCCTCCTGGGGAGCCACCCCAAAAGTTTCACAGAACCAGGAGCAAGTTTCCCAGGATCAGGAGACATCCCCAAAGTTTCAGGGAATCAGGAGCCATCCCCAAACTCTCCCAGGATCAGGAGCCATCCCCAAAGTTTCCCAGGATTAGGAGCCATCCCCAAAGTTTTATAGGATAAGGAGCTATCCCCAAAGTTTCCCAAGATCAGGAGCAATCCTAAAAGTTTCACAGGATAAGGAGTCATCCCCAGTTTCCCAGGATCAGGAGCCATCCCCAAAGTTTCCCAGGATCAGGATTCCTCATTTTGACTCTTCCCAGCATCATCAGCAGGATCTGGGGGGTCTTCCAGGTCCTTTTCCTCCCTAATCCCTCTTTTTCCCTCCTTCCCACCTCTAACAATCCTGGCAGAACATCTTGGCGCTGCCTGAGAAATCAGGTAGGCTTTGGATAGACCAAAAAAAGACCAAACTGGGGCCAAAAAATAACCCCCCAAAAGATGAGGAATTCCTGCTCATGCACCTGCTCCAGCCTCAGGAATCCTGTGGTCCAGATCAGGCTGCTCAGGCCCCACAAATCCCTGGGATGAGCCAGGAATGTTTCCCACCTGGAGCTGAAAAATTCCCCCCACAATGGAGATTTTATCATGCTGATGTTCTGGTTAAAATTCCCATTTTTTTTCACCTTTAGAGCCCACCTTGGCCAAGCCCTGGGGATTCCCATTTGCCACAGGGAGAGGTTTATCCCTCAGATTATCGGGATGCTGCTCAGCCCAGTTCCCAGGGAACTGTTTCTCCCTCAGAACCTGCACCAAGAAATGTGGTTTTTTCCCTTTTTATTCAAGTCTTCTGGGCTTTTCTCTTCCAATTCTGCAGCAGAACAAGCGAAACCTCAGCAACTGCAGCTCCCCAGGGCCTCCACTTTATCCACGGAGGGGTGGGAGGAAGAAAACCTGCAATTTGGGAATTTGCTGCACGAGCCACAGTCCGTGGGTTGGGAAATCCCAGCAGCAATTCCTCGCCAAGAGGATCCCGTTCCAAAACTCTCCAGCGGCTCCTAGAGGAGGGTGAGCCCCTTTCAGGAGAGTTGGCAGCTCCTGCCAGGCTGGGAAACCCCTCCCAGAAGGATTTTCCTCCTCCAGTGATGACGGGAAAGGGTTGGAGGAGCCGAGCCTGCCAAGTGCTCCGGCGACACTAGAAGGCACCATTCCCTCAGGGATCAGCCTGGCAGAGCCTTCCCTGCCCTCAACTCCCAAGGAAAACCCCCCAAACACGAGCCCCACCAGCACAAAAATCGGGATATTTTATTTCCTTGAGCTCCAGTGATAACAACTGTAGCAGCATCTCACAAAAGAACTCCTGCATTATTAAATACACATTTAAGAGAACACTTTTTTTTTTAATCAAAAAAAACACAAATACGACTGAAGAACTGCAAAGTTCCTCCTCCTCCCCTTAAATAATGAGTGATGTGCGTTTCTTGCAGAGGAAGCAGCAGAACATGTTTCACAGACCAGGCTAAAAAAAAAAAAAAATCAAACTTCAGGCTCAAAGCTCGGCTTTCAAATGCAAACTAGGAGAGAGGAGGGGCTTTGGGAAGGGGGATCCAGCATCAGGAAACGCTTCCTGCTGGAGGGAAGAGAGCTCTGGAGTTATTACCCCAACTGGGCTGGTTTTATGGGAGAGCCAGAAATCCAGGGAGAGCCTGATAAATGTCCAAGTGCTCCTTTATCCACTCCCAGCTCGAGGAAGAGCAAATTCCCAAGAAAACCCGGGGTTTAATTAATAATTATTTGTTGATAATTACTAATTATTGGTGCTGAACACTCAGGAGGTTCCCCTGCTCTCCCCTCTCCGAGGAGATGCTCAGCTGGCCAAAAACTCAACCAACATCCCGACTTCTCCACAGGCAAATCCAGACTCCAAGCAGGAGATGAGGCTCTCCCAGAACCCCAAAGGGGAAGGCAGGAATATCAAAGCAGCAGCCAGAGGAAGGGGATGATGCAAGAGGCACCACTCCTGAACTGGCACTAAAAGCTGCCACCACCCCCCAGGATGCTACAATTTGCCTCTTCACCATCAAAGTGCCCCCAAAATTTCACCTCCCTGGAAACACTCAGTGCAAAACCAGCTGAACTTTGCCACTTTTAAGACACAGGGTGAGTTTGACACAGTGATTAGTTCCTTTAAAGACAAAAAAAATAAAGCATTGAGCAAAGCTCGTTTCCCCAAGAGGTTCATTTACACAAGGCACAGAGAGGAGCTCTGGGATTCACCTTCTCAAAAAAAACCCCAAAAATCCCAGAGCAAAGGGATTAGATGGGATTAGTGTCATCCTAAGGGACACAACTGGCTGGTGGGACACTCCAGGGACACATCCCAGCCCTAAAGCTGCTCCCAAAGCCACATCCCAGGGTGCAGAGCAGGGCAAGTCCCAGGGAGGGTGGGGATGGACCAGCTGGTGCCCTGGAATTGCTGGTTGCACATCCAGGCTCCTCAAATCCCTCCTGGATCACCCAAGGGGCTAAAAGGGGAGGGATTTGGGGTTGGGAGAGCCCTTCCCAAGAGGAGCAGGGCACACAGGGAGGCTGCCACCCTGCCCCAAAGCTCAGCATTCCCACAGCAGGAAAACCAAACCCAGGGCACGAGGAACCTCCCCAGGGTGGGTTTTCCTCCCCCCGGGTGGGTTTTCCTCCCCCCAGCAGTGATTTTCCCCCCCCCCGGGGGGGTTTTTTTCCCCCCCCCAGGGTGGATTTTCCCCCCCAGGGTGGGTCTTTTGCCTCCCCCAGGGTGGATTTTTCCTCCCCCCAGGGTGAGTTTTCCTCCCCCCAGGGTGAGTTTTTTCCCCCTCTTCAACAGAGCTCCTCGTCAAACACAAGCTGGGAGGTGGCTTTGGTTCTTCCCTAAGGCTTTTCCAAGGTTTCTGCTGCTGGTTTGGGAACTGCCAGGATGTGACCCCTGCAACTCAGGGGCCAAACTGTAAACAGAAGCTCCAGGTGCCCCCCTTTTCCTGGGAGCAGAGCAGCTCCATGGACCCACTTGGAGCCCAGGTTGCTCCTGGCAGCAGGATCAGGGCTTTAGGGAGAAAACTGGGAATAAATTAAGGGAGGATGAAGGTTGCTCAGCTGTCACACGCCATAAAAATGTACCTTTAAAAATAAGAGAGTCTGCAAAATAAGTACTGTAAAAATCTACATCTTAAAGAGTCTCCTTGTAAAAAATGGAAAGGAGTTTTCCCCTTTTTCCACCCCCCAACCCCCAAAGTGACCAGGGATTTCGGGGTGCTCCTCAAAATTCCTTCTCCCCCCCATCCCAACAAGTCTCAAGGGGCCACCAAGTACCTGACACCCAGGTGAGAATCCAGGTCACCATTTGGGGGTTAAATGCTGTAAAATTAAAGCCAATCTGGCTATAAAAATAAATGCTTTTGTGTCTTCCTCCCATGGGATGGAAGAGTTCAGCCCTTTTTAAACAGCTTCACATCCAGCTGTAATAAGCATTTTTAGAAAACAACCCAAATGCTTCCATAGAAAAATAAAGGATAAACATTATCCACCTCTTTTATATTTCTATAAAAGTTAAGTTCTGTGACAGGATATTCTGCTTCTTTGCTGTAAAAAAAAAAACCAACAACAAAACCCAAAAAAAAACCCCCAAACAACCCACTCAGCTTAGGTTTTGTCCAACCTAAGGAAAGGAGGAAACTACACCTTCAATCTTATCCAGAAGAAAAAAAAATAGCAGTTGGCAAGTTGGTTCCTCCAAAAATAAAGTTATTAAATATATATATATATATTATTAGAAGTCTTTATAAAATTTTTGTTTAAAGCCAGGAGGACCCAGGATCTCCCCTCGAGGAGGGAGGTGTGGATGTCGGGATGGGAATCCTCCAGAAACACATGTTCCTCCAGTGGGATGTGTGTCCCAGAGCTGGCTGGGGAGGAAGGGGGTGACACACACAGAGGGGACCCACAGAGGGGCCACCGAGGCTCCTGTGCAACCTTCACAAGGATGTTCTTTTCTCCAGCTTGTGCTTTGTGAGGAAGTACTTGAAGAACTCGTACACCGACCACGCGATGGCCGTCGAGGGCATCTGGTAGATGACCCGAGCTTGGACCCCCCTGAAGAAGCCAGGCAGCCCCCCCAGCTGGTAGACGGTCCTGAAGGCGTTCAGCATGCCTGAGAGGTGCCCGCTGATGTTGAGGGAGCTCAGGGCCGTGTTCTCCTGCGTGTTCAGGAGGGTTTTGCAGACGTCCAGCGGGGTGGTGGCGGCGGCGGCCACGGCGCCCGCCACGGCCCCGGACACGATGTGGGACCGGGGGTTGTACTCGCGGCGGGGGTTGATGTGCTCCTGCATGAACTCGTAGGTGATGAAGTGGATGGCCTGGAAGGGCACGTTCATGGTCAGCTGGGTGGTGTAGCTGCGGTAGAAGGCCCCGAAGCCCTCGGTCCTCTGCACGGTCCTCACGCAGGACAGCACCGACTTGTACGGCGAGTTGAACATCTGCATCCGCTGCTTCACCACTGCGGGGGCA